GATTTTCAGTGGATGTTTACAGCTGTTTCTCTTCATTTTGAGTTGTGCCCCATCAGCACATGAAGGTCCCGTGGGCTTTACTCCATTCATGTCATCACAGTCAACTCTACTTTGAGGAGACAGCTCTTCCCCAGTCACATTTTAAATGCCTTCCAACCTGGGGGGCTCATTTTCTGGCACTATATCTGACAGTGTTTCTCTGCTATTCCTAAGGTTTTCAGTGACTAAATATTCGGAAGTAGTTCGTCACTCCTTCTTCCTAGTCTGTCTTCATCTGGAAGCTCATCTGAAACCTGTCCACCATGGGTGACCCTGCTGGTATTTAAAATACCGGTGGCATAGCTTCCAGAATCACAGCAACTCACTCACAAGCCACCACAGCACGACAAACTGACAGATGAGTTGTTGTTGTTGTGAAGTGCTTTCAGGTTGGTTCCGACCCATAGCGGCCCAGTATAGGGTTTCTGAGGAGCAGCTGGTGAGCTTGAACCATCGTCAGATGAGTGGTGGCCATAAAATGGTTTTAAATATAGGGAATGCTTAGAGTAACTAACTGACCCGTTGCTGCGGGTGGTGGTGGTGGTTATGTGCCGTGCAGTCGGTTCTGACTTATAGAGACCCTGTACAGGGTTTCCGAGGCTATAAATCTTTATGGGAGCAGAAAGCCTCATCTTTCTCCCATGAAACAGCTGGTAGTTTGCAACTGCTGACCCTGAGGTTAGCAGCCTGATTTGTAACCACTACGCTGAGTAATGTCAAGCCATAATCCCTAATAACTAGTAGACACGGGCTGCAGAGTAACTGTTTTTCTTTATGAGACCATCTAGAATGAATGATAAAATTAGTTGCTTTGTATTTCACATTTTTATATAGTTTCATGATTTACAAAAGCATTTAAAAGCGAGTATCTTGTGTAATCTGCAAACCACATGATGAGGTTAAAGTAGTACCATCCCTCCTTATGAAAGTAGAGGGTGTCCCTGGGTGGTATAAATAATTAACATGCTCAACTGGTAACCAAAAGATGGGGGGTTTGAATCCACCCAAAGGTGTCTCAGAAGAGAGGCCTGCCTACTTCTGAAAAATCCGTTATCGAAAACCCTATGAAACACAGTTTTACTCTGGCACACATGGGCACTGTGAATTGGAATCAGCTCAAATGGTAACTAGCTTTTATGAAGGGTCACAGAGTCCAAATGCTTCACAAAACTTGAAACCTGATTAGACAATGAATGCATGCCTTCTGACTAAAGAAAATTCTCTCACCATACTGTTGTTGTTGTTAAGTACCGTGGAGTCGCCAAATGCTAGCAGGTGTGGGGACTTCTTTGTTTTCCCTAATGGCTACATGATATGACTTCAGTACTTGGGCAAATCACATGTACCAAAATACAAACAGATCAGCCTTTCTGGAGTCTCAGAGAGTTTTCTTTCTGGAATCTAGAATGAAATTGTAAAGAACCTGAACCCACCACTTTATTATCTGCAGTAGTTCATAAAGGAAAAACACAAAAACTAATTAGATGCTTCTCCCAGCATCTCTCTCTTGAGACATGCTAATATTGGCTCTTAAGAGCTGGGTGGGACCAGCCTTTAAGGTGGCACAGCCAGGTCCTCAGTTTTGAACTGTCATTGTTACCAAGAAACTGCCTAGTGATTTGAATTCTCTGATGGATTTTTCTACAGGAAGAGAAGGCAAGTCTGGCACTAGATAACAGCTGATCTACTTGGCAGTTGAAATTCCTACCTCACCTGAAATCGGTGTTATACGTAAGTGCATTTAGTTGGTAAGAGCTAGTCTCTGCTGGGATGCCGTGCTCTAATTGCCATACAAAATTGATTTGAGGATCTGAGAAACTGAGCACCAGGTCCCGATCCACAATTTGTCTTGTATCTTTCCATACTGTTTATTAGCTCATCTGTTTCACTAGTCACCTAACTAGTCTCCTTTCTCCTTACTTTTCTCCCACCTCAAGTCTATGATGTCTTATTAAATCCTTCCTTTTTTCTAAAAAATCCAGGCTAAACTGTTCAGCAGGGTTTACAAAGCTGACACTTTCTTTCATTACCTACCTTCCACTTTATGATTCGGCCTCACAGTGAGTCCATGTGTGTCTGAGTAGAACAGTATTCCACAGAGTACTCCATGACTGTGGTTTCAGAACGAGATCACCAGGCCTTTTTTCTGAGGTACCTCTTGGTGGACTCAAACTGCTAGCCTTTCAGCAGCAGAGCATTTAATCCTTTGCACTACTCACGGACCCTACCTTTAGCTTTATTGAGCAGTGAAGCTTCTCAGGCACGTGTTTGTAGATGGCAATGACTACCTGAAATGACCTTCTGTCAAATCACTAAGCTCCTTGTTAGCTTTTCAGCCTTTACCCTTTATCATCTTTGCTTTCATTTTATTAAACAGTCATCAAGGACTTAGTGTGTGGGCCAAGTGCTCTGCTGAATGCAAGATAAGGGTGTTTGCTATACACCAGCACTGTGCTCAGGAGTTACAAGAATGATCTCATTTCATTCTCATGACAAGCTATGAAACTGTAAAGGGCTGCATTTCTACATCAAAATACTCTTGTGCATCTGATATATATCAGAATCCAGGGGTTTTCAGATTTTAGAACAATAGCAAAGTGCACATATTATATATGATGACGTTGTACTCCCAGTGGAGAGCAAGAATTTCATAATCCAGGATTGATATTTCTGTAGCCTAATGTGTAAGTCATTGCTCTAAGAAAGAATACAAACTATTAGTAGACAGTTCACTTCAGATTTTGCTAACAACTGAGTCCAGAATGGGTCAGATTTTGCTATCAAATGAACTAGACTAAAACAAAACCAAAAACTTTTATTTATTTTAGATATTTGACTTCAAAATTGCCAATAGGAGTTTGTGGACATGTATGGTGTTAATTTTTTTTTAATTGTGGTTAAATATATATATATATATAGAGAGAGAGAGAGAGTCCTGGTGTGGTGCTATAGGATAAGTACTGGACCACAAGGTCAGCTTGAACCGCAATGTTAGTGGTTCAAATCCACAGCTGCTCCTCAGAAACCCTATACAGGGTCGCTATGAGTCAGAACCTATTTGATGGCCCTTCACAACAATACTTCTTACCTTACACACACACATGAACACTCATCATACCCCCAGACTTCTAGTAGGCAGAAAGTACCTTTCCGTAGAACTTCAGTTTGTTCAGAATATTCAACATACGTTGGAATTTGTTCCACAACGTACAGAGTACCACTGCCCAGGCTGTGATTCAGCTTCACTTTCTTCAGGTCCAGGACCATGTATTGATTGTTATAGGTGCCTGAAATATCAGGAGATATGAAGATAGTTAACCCCCAAATCTAAACCGATCCCTATGTCCAAAAGTTATTCTAGCAGGCCACTTACCAGAGTTGTATTTTGAAAAGATCTCTGCCCACATCCTACCACCATCTGCCATCATATTGGCTACACGGACTCTTTGCCAGGCCAGGAGAGACTGGGGTACCACTTGCTTTAGCAGAGTTTTATTAAACACACTGTTTGTTGTCTGTAGTAATATCAAACCACTGCTAAGAATGTAGAAGTCATCCAGAGACTCTAAAAACCCTACAGAAAAGATAAATATACAAATAAGCATGTGTATACACAGAAAGTTGAACCATCATTTGTTGTTAGATGCCATCAAGTCCAGTTCTGACTCATAGCAACCCTGTATAGGGTTTCCAAGGAGTGATTGGTGGGTTTGAACAGCGGTTAGCAGTCCAGTGCTGATGAACCATCATTAGCAGCTTAGAACTCTACATGCACAACACATTTTGCAAAAAGTATCAGATATTATTATCCTTGATAATAAACAGTGGCTGGTCCCAGCTTTGATTCAGCTCTATGCCTGTCACCCAGTGCTACTAATAGAAGTGACAGTAGACTGCCACCACTGGTTCACCATTGAACACTTGTGATTTAGGATTTAGGATGACAAAAATACACAAATCAGGAGTTTCCAAAATGATCAACAGAAATTAATCCCCCCTTGCTAGGTTTTTGCAGGTGAACTTTTTATTATGCAGGAGTATAAGCACAGCTTGTTGTTGGTTAGGAAGAATATAGATGCCTTCATTCATTTCATTGCACCATTTTTGTATTCTCCAATTTTTGTAGAATGAGTCTATATGATTTTATAAACAGAAAACCAGAAAAAGGAGTTTACATATTTATAAAACTGAACCTAGTGTATAAACTAGGACATTGGCACTCTGGGTTGATGGTTTTTGTAAATGTTGGGGGAAACATAAGAAAACCAATGAAGCCACATGCCTTTCTGAAGGCCTATTGTATGGTTAATGTTGTACTGAGTGGGGTAGAGATAGAGGAACATCAGACAGAGCTGTAACAATAAGAGGTAGGGATGGTCATCAAGCCTAACAGTAAGGGACAAACTGCTAAATGATTTCAGAGAATGGCCCAGTGAGAACGTTGGAAGGAATATGAGTGATTAGCTCCTCTAGTACTTCTCAAACCACCACCATTTTTACACCACTTTATCATTTCCAAAAACTCAGCAGTTTGAACCCCCAAACCACTCTGCAGAAGAAAGGTACGGCAGTCTGCTTCTATAAAGATTGGTGGTGGTGGTAGTTGTGAACCATTGAGTCGGATCCAACTCATAGCGACCCATAAAGGTTTTCCAGGCTGTAAATCTTTATAGAAACAGAAAGCTTCATATTTTTCCCACAGAGCAGTTGGTAGATTTGAACTGCTGCCTTATGGTTAGCAGCCTAGCTCTGGTTGTGACCCACTTTGCTACCAGAGCTCCTTTCTATAAAGATGGCAACTTTAGAAGTCCGTTGTTGTTGAAGTTAAGTACCGTAGAGTTAGTTTAATCCAGTTGCAAGGATTTCCCTTTTCTTTATATAGACATGCAATCCATACTGAAGGCTGTGGTCTTTGTTCTTCATCAGTAAGTATTTTAAGTCTTCTTCACTTCCAGCAAGCAAGGTGTGCCATGTGCATATCACAGGTTGTTAATGAGTATTTCTCCAGTCTTCATGCCACATTCTTCTTCATATAATTCAGCTTCTCAGATTATTTACTCAGATACAGATTGAATAAGTATGGTGAAAGAATACAGCTGTTATGCACACATTTCCTGATTTAAACAATTCAGTATCCTCTTGTTCTATCCTAACAATGGCCTCTTGGACTATATACAGGTTCTTCATGAGCACAATTAAGTCTTCTGGAATACCTATTCCTCTCAATGTTATTCATAGTTTATTATAATCCATACTGTTGAATATTTTTGTATAGTCAATAAAGCACAAGTGAACATCTTTCTGGTGTTCCCTGCTCTCAGCCAAGGTCCATCTGAGGTCAGCAATGAAATCCCTAGTTCTATTCCTCTTCTGAATCCAGCTTGAATTTCTGGCAGCTCTCAGGTACTGCTGCAAAACTACTATAATTTAAATTTATGGACCAACTACTAAAGCCAGTGATGAGGAAATTAAAGAATTCTACCAACTTCTTCAGTCTGAAATTGATCAAACTTGCAATTAAGATACACTGATAATTACTGGTGATTGGAATGTGAAATTGGAAACAAACAGGAAGGATCCTTACTTGGAAAATCTGGCTTTGGTGATGGAAATGATGCTGGAGATCACATGATAGAATTTTGCAAAACCAATGATGTATTAATTGTAAATACTTTTGTTCATACACATACACTGGGCCCTAACCAGATGGGATCTATAGGAATCAAATTGACTATATTATCAGTCAAAACAAGGCCAGGATCATATCAAGTATCAATCCTATCCCCTCTGTACACAGGGGAGATAGCGACGGGCAACTTGGACATTGGCTACCTAAAATGAGGGGGCGATAAAGACACAATGTGACTGGCTTACAAGTTTTCAAGAGGGAGTTTAGCTTAAGAGTGTGTGGGGGAAGATAGAGTCCCCACTGAATAATTTTTATCTTGTCTAGACAGGTTTGGTGAAAAGAGATGGGGATCCAATTCTTATGATTCAATAGTGAGTGATTGTTATCATGACTAATTACGACTGTTACAAATGTAAAGGTAGAAGTTTTGTAGCAAAGAGGGGGGAGTAGTTAATCTTACAGTCCGGAAACAGAGGACCCTAGGACCATCAAGGGAGAAGAGCACAAGTGGAATGTGGGATGCTATCCAGAGAAGCAGCGACACTAGAGATGGAGACAGAGATGAGGACATGGAGAGAGGGAGCAGCTGAGGACTCTAGACTCATGGAAAGAGAAAGACTGAATGCTGGTGACAGAAAACAGGCTTGCAGAATGTGCTCTTTGGTTGTTTAAATTATTATATATTCCTCAGGGTTTTTGTGCACGTCTGCACCCTAACCCACCTCCAAAACCAAAACAAAAGAAAACAAAAAAAAAAAAAACAAAGAGAATAGAAGCATACTATTGAATGATGATGCACAGAGATTGTAATTGCAATGAAACAATGGTGTAAAACCAGGAAAAAAAAAAAACAAAAAACAAGAAATACAAACTTTGAGCTTTGGTTTTTAAAAAGCAAAATAAACTTATCATCTGAGAAAAACAAACAAACAAAAAAACAAGGCCTGAGATCGACTGTGGAAAAGCCTATCAACTGCTAATGTACAAGTTCAGGCAAAAGCTGAAGAAAATGAAAACAAATCCACAAGAGCCAAAATATGACCTTGAACATATCCCATCTGAATTTAGAGATCATCTCAAGAACAGATTTGATGCATTTGAACTGTGGGTTGGCATCAAGAAAATCATACATGAAGAAAACAAACAGTCATTTAAAAGACAGGAAAGAAACAACAAAAATGAATTTCACAAGAGACTCTGAAACTTGCTCTTTTTTTTTTTTTTCCAATTGTGAACTGAGTGCTAGTTTACATGGGAGAATATCGGCTTTACACCATCGTTTCATTGCAATGATTACAATCTCCTCCGTGCATCATCATTCAGCAGTATTTGCTTCCATTCCCTCTGTTTTTCTTTTTTTTTTGGGGGGGGGGGGGGGTGGAGGGGGAGGGAATACACATGAACACACTGAGGAATATTTTAACAATTTAAACAACCAATGGGCACACACAGCACACACAGCATTTCATAGGTTGAAAGAACTGAAGAAAAAATTCAAGCCTGGGGTTGCAATGTTGGAGTGTGGGTGTGGTACTATGGGATAATGCACTGGAAAGCAAGATCAGTTTGAACTGTAATGTTGGCAGTTCAAATTTACCAGCTGCTCCTCTGAAACCCTATACAGTGTGGCTATAGTAGGAAACTATTAGAAGCCACTTAACAACAAAAATGGGCAAAATGGAGTCCTGGTGTGCTGGACTTCAAGGTCAGTTTGAACCACAAGGTCAACAGTTCATGTTCACCAGTCACTCCTAAGTAACCCTATATAGGTTCACTATGAGTTGGAACAAACTACGTGGCACTTAACAACAACAACAATGGGCAAAATACTGAGTGATACAGAAAGTATCAAAAGAAGATGGAAGGAATACACAGTCACTGTACCAAAAAGAAATGGTGGATGTTCAACCATTTTAAGAAGTAGCATATGATCAAGAGCTAATGATACTGAAGGAAAAAGTCCAAGGTGCATTGAAGACATTGGCAAAGAACAAGGCTCCAGGAATTGATGTAATACAAATTGAAATCTTTCAAGAAAGTGAGGCGGCCCAGGAGGCACCCACTTATCTATGCCAAGGAAATCGAAAGACAGGTACCTGGGCAACTGATTGAAAGAGACCACGTTTGTGTCCATTCCAAAGAGAGGTGTGACCCAACGAAATGTGGAAATTATTTAACAATATTGTTAATATCACATGCAAATAAAATTTTGCTGAAGATAATTAAAACTGGCTGCAACAGTACATTGACAGCGAACTTCCAGAGGTTCAGGTCAGATTCAGATAAGAATGTGGAACAAGGGATATCATGGCTGACATCAGCTGAATCTTAGCTGAAAGCAGAGAATACCAAAAAGATGTTAACTGGTGCTTTATTGACTATGCAAATTCCTTAGACTGTGTGGATCACAACAAGCTCTTGATAACATTGTGAAGCAAGAGTATTCTGGAACACTTAATTATGCTCATGAAGAACCTGTACATGGAACAAGAGGCAGTCATTCGAACAGAACAATGGTTCTGTTGAAAACACTCCTAAAAATGTTTAAAACACTCAATGGTTTAAAATCAGGAAGCGTGTACACCAGGGTTGTATTCTTTCACCATACTTATTCAGTCTGTATGCTGAACAAATAATCTGAGAAGCTGCATTCTATGAAAAAGAACCTGGCATCAGGAATGGAAGAAGACTCATTAACAACTTGCAATATGCAAATGATACAACCTTGCTTGCTGAAAGTCAAGAGGATTTAAAATACTTATGGATGAAGATCAAAGACCACAGCCTTGGGTATGGATTGCACTTCAATGTAAAGAAAACAAAAATCCTCACCACAGGGCCAATAAATAACATCATGATAAATGGAGAAAAGATTACAGTTATCAAACACTTCATTTTGCTTGGCTCCACTAGCAACACTCATAGAAACAGAAGCAAGAAATCAA